CTAGCCTGAAGCATAACTAAAACAAACCCATCCTGGAGATAAAGATCCAACTGACCCTTATCTCTGCAATGCTCTCCCAGACAGTTTTGTATTTCTTGCATGAATTTCCTGGAAGAGAGAGTCCTCCTGAGTAAAAGAGGAGAGACCTGGTAAAACAGGTACTCTTGGAAAAGGCTGTTCACTGCATAGGTAAGGGGAGATTTAATGAAAATGAGTTAATATAGAACTAAAATAAGTGTATTGATCTGGGGGAAATCCTGAACTCTGTTGTGAGTGAGACAGTTGTGGTAAGTGGGAAATGCTTTGGGGAAAACCCATAACTTCCCCAAATGCCTATGTAAATGCCTACAACATGGAAAATTAGCAGGAAGAGCTTGATATCTCAGCTCACAGTGTCATTTAAATTGGAAATATTCAGCTGCAAGTGAGGAGAGGTGGTGAAAATAGAAATTGCGACTGCCTTTAGGTTCAAGGCCTACGATCATCTGATACTCAGAAAAGAGAACATGAATAATACTTAGAAAACATCCAAGTGAAGCACAAAACCTTTGCAGATAAAGAGAATCTGAAATTGTCTCTGTTCAAATATGCAAAATAGCTTAAGGAGAAGAACCAGGGAGTAATGGTGAAGAATTTTGTAATGGGCATATACCACCCAAAAAGTTTTAGGTGGTGTTATGGATTGAATTGTGCCCACCAAAAATATGTGTTGTAAATCCTAACCCCTATACCTTTGGATGTGTTATCAGGAGGGACTAGTCCCTGGAGAAGGACATCTTGCTTGATAAAGAAGAGGGTCAGAGAAAAAGAGGAAGACTCTGAACAACACGAATTGACACAGTGGCTGCAACAATGGGCTCAAACAGCAATAATTGTGAGGATGGTGCCGGAATGGGTGTTCCTTTGTACACAGTGTCGCTATGAGTCGGAATTGACTCAATGGCACCTAACAACAACAACAACACACCTGTGGTTATAATCCCATTTGGGTATGGGGTTTCTTTGTTGTGTTAATGAGGCAGTGTTAGTGTACAGTACATCTTAAATCAATCTCTTTTCAGATATAAAAGAGCAGATTAAGCCAGAGCATGCAGAGATGGGGGACAGTAGATGCCACGCCACTTGAAGATCACCAAGGAGCCAAGGTTAGAAGCTAAAAAAAAGACAAGGACCTTTCCCCAGAGCGGACAGAGAAAGTCTTCCCGTAAAGCTGTCGCCCTGAATTCTAGCCTCCTAAACTGTGAAAAAATAAATTTCTGTTCATTAAAGCCATCCACTTATGGTATTTTTGTTATACCAGCAGTAAATATCTGATATAGGTGGGTAGGTAAAATTTTCTTACTATTAAAGTTGGATGAGTTGGGGAATGATACAGTATATGGTTATGTGTGAAAATGTCCTTATTAATTAGAGATGCATACCAAAGTATTTATGGGCAAAATTGGCTTTGCTTTAAAATATTTGAACAAAATAAAAACCATGACAACAAAAAAGAAGAGAGAATTGAGCACTGAAACCAGATTGGAGGTATCTTTGATAATCATTGAAGCTGGATGGTGGCTATATGGGGGTTCATTATGTGATTCTATTTTTGTATATATTTGAAAATTTTTGTGATAAAATATTTTTTAGGAAAGGAGAAAAGAAGACAAGATGACCACTATTTAAATTCAAACAATATCTTGAGATAATATGTGCAACGAATTTGAAATAAGGGTTACATTTCCTAATATACAAAGAGCTCCTACAAATTAATCAGAAAAATAGAAATAACTCAATAAACAATGGACGAGGAACTTGATTATACACTTTAACGAAGAAATACAAAAGCCCACTGAATGCAAGGGAAGTGTTCAACTTCAGTAGAAATTTAAAAACTGAAAATTAAAATAGATTGTGAGATATAATTTTTTTTATTAGTAACGGGTGGAGAAATAAGGCTTCGTGGTGGGATGCATAGGATGATTTGGAGCACCATCCATCATTCTGTACCAATATGAATCAAACTGTAAAATGTGTAAGACCTTTTACTATGTAACTTTATTTCAAGGAATGCATGCCAAAAAGATAATTGGTTGTATATGGAAATATATATTCACGTGTGTATGTATATGCATATACATATATATAATCAATCAGTTATTCATTACAATGAGGTTTTTAGAAACAAAAATTGAAAACAAACTAAATGCTCATCACAGATGAAATCATATTTGATACAGTCATACAAATGAACATCATGGAGTTGCTAAAGTAGATGATATATATCTATTTTCTGTGGAAAAAAAAAATCCACTATGAATGGTTGAGTGAAAATGCAGGTTGCAGGATAGTTCTATATATTTTATGAGTATTTTATGCCACAAGGTTGCTATGAGTTGAAATCTACTCAATGGCAACAGGTTTGTTTGTTTGGTTTTTATATCCAGAACACTGTTTGCTAAAATGTTAACGTTATCTGTGGATGAGAGATTCTGGAATTATTTGTATCTCCTTCATGATAATTTTCTTGACTGCACTACATTACCATGTATTCGTACATCCATAAGTATTAGTACGTACATAAGCATTACCAAAAAAACCAAACCCATTGCCATCAAGTCGATTCCTATTTATAGTGACACTATAAGAAAGAGTAGAACCGCCGCATCGGGTCTCCCAAGGCTTTAGTGATCCTTAATATTATTAGTAAAGGAGCCCTGGTGAGACAATGGTTAAGCACTTGTGTGCTAACTGAAAGGTGGCAGTTGAAGTCCACCAGGGGCTCCATGAGAGAAAGACAGGGCGATCTGCTTCTGTAAGGATTACAGCCTAGAAAACCCTATGGGGCAGTTTTAACTCTGTCACATGGGGTCTCTATGAGTTGGAATTGACTCAACCGTACCCAACAAAAACAACAATGTTATCAATAAAACTACGTACCTTTTAAAAATGTGATTGCAGTAAATCACTTGATTTGCTTCATAGAATTAAAAAAGTATTGACAAGAATCTGAAGTTGGGTCAGAATAGGTTGGAAACTATCATATGATAATTGACTCATTCTCGAAGGGGAAAGAAAATACATAAAAACCAAAGATCGTTTTGAAAATTAATTTAGATCTAAGAGAAAAAAATGAGTCTGAGGGTGTTGGATACAGCTATTTTGATAGCCCAATTAGTAACTTTATCCGGAATGTGAAAAGACTGTTTTTATTGTAAAATGTGAGTAAAACCTAGACATATACAAAATTTAGAAAGACACATAAATATGTCTACAAAAGCCTTTATTGTGAATCTATCGTGTATTTTGAACCCCAAGATATAACACTTGTGGAGGCCAAATTGGCTGAAAAAATGAAAAGGAAATTCACCTTTCCACCAATATACCAAATGAAATACTCTTTAAGAATATGAAATGAAGGTGAGAAACATTATAACTCCCACCCCCGCAATAGTTCTGTTCTCACTCATCACAACCCTACAGGACAGAGTAGAACTGCCCCATAGGGTTTCCAAGGAGTGGCTGGTGGATATGAACTTCCAACCTCTGGGTTAGCGACTGAGCTCTTAACCACTGCACCCACAATACAGCAAAAGCTTAAAATATAGAAAAATTCCATTTTTATACAATGGAAGTACCAGTTTCTGAAAGAAAATGGATGAGTGAAACACATTTAAATTATGCTTTCAAACCATTTAATGTCATTTTAATTGCATTTTGGAGTATTCAAATTTATCAATAAAGAGAAAAAGGAGCTACCCTGACATGTTTTATAATCCATGGTTTTTTATTTAAATATATTAGATTCTCCCAGAAAGATTTCAGATTAAAATATACATTTCCATTTTATTTTTTATTTACAAAATCTATGCTTTTAACCTATTTGGTAAAAATGGAGATTTTGTGTAAAACTAAGACGTTAGGAACTTTGCATTATTTTTAATTGTTTTCTT